TCATGAAGGAATCACTCTGTTTTAAGTTTTCTGTGTATCACTTGTTGGTGAAGAAGAGAATCAACTATGTAGAGATATTGCTTGCAGCCAATGATGCATGAAATTTTTTGTATAAGATGATGTTCTGGGGTAGGACTGGATAAGTCTGACTTCTTCCTACTCCATTCAAACATGTGCTGGGTATAAGCAAACTGATTCTGGATTAGCAGTGGTTGGCTTTGTGTAATTATGTGTGTGTGTTGATGTCATTTGTTCTGCATGTTTGACAGAATAAAATCAAATCAAATCCTTCTTGTCTGTCTAGAGCTCCTGGCCAGTTACAACGATGAGGACATATACCTGTTTGACTCTAATCATAGTGATGGGGCTGACTATCGCAGAAGATACAAGGGACACCGCAATAATGCCACAGGTAAATGGTAAATGGACTGTATTTTATATAGCGCTTTCTCACAGTGTGTTACACTGGCCAAAGCGCTTTACAGAGATGCTACACCATTCACACACAACATTCACACACTGATGACGACAGGCTGCCATGCACCGGCGCTAGTCAAGCCACCGGGAGCAATTCAGGGTTCAGTGTCTTGTTCAGGGACACTTAGGCATGTGGGGAGACCGGGAGTCGAACCACCAACTTGCTGGTCAGGAGACGACTGCCCTACCTCATGAGCCACAGCCACCCCGAGTTAATTTACTGCAGCGATAAGTCAGCGACCTTTGCACCAAGCCACATAATCGGGTGTAGCCCAAATGAATCTTATTGCCTATTCAGCATTATTCTTGCTGTATGATCCTCACAGTGAAGGGGGTGAACTTCTATGGGCCATGCAGTGAGTTTGTGGTCAGTGGCAGCGACTGTGGACACATCTACCTGTGGGACAAGTATTCCGCTCGTATTGTCCAGTTTATGGAAGGAGACAGGGGAGGAGTGGTGAGTCACAGAGAGAAAGTACAAATATGTATTTGTTGGACAAAAATATGACTTGGGAAAAGCTATACAAACACATTTCTAAAGTAAATTTTGTTTCAGCGGCAGTTATATGGTTTTTGTTATCCATTGTTATGGCTACAGTACATACTGTGTCTATTTAACCATGCTGAACCAGATGTTTGCTGCAGAGACATTCACTATGAAATGAAAAGACATTCTGTGTAAAATGTCTTTCCATGTTCACACTTAATACTCAGTTCTTTCCTTTGCCCTCAACAATCCCAGGTGAATTGTCTGGAGCCTCATCCCCATCTGCCAGGCCTGGCCACCAGTGGGCTGGACCATGACATCAAACTGTGGGCCCCCACAGCTGAAAGCCCCACAGGACTCAAGGGTCTGAAAGAGGTACTGTATTATGTTCTATTTTATTCTATTCAGCTTTTTAAATAGTTTTGGTCATCATTCTGTTGGTCATGGTAACAGTTCACATACTTTAGAAACAGAGATGCACTGATGCCACTGAAAATCACTTTACAACAGAGACCATGTGATACCATGTTATTAGTGGAGCACAGAGATAATGAATCAAACCACCTTAAGTCATTTATCTAAATGAGTTCTTTGAAAGTGAAATTGAAGGTGACAGTGCCTGAACTGTCCATCATAATTATCACACAGCTATTGTTACTCTGCATTGTCATGTATGTTTACAGTGCTGTAAGAGGGGTAATTTACCCCAGTCATTTACCTTCACATTTGGTCTCATGTCTAAATACTTTTTATGAATGGTTGACAGGCTCATGTTGTGATGCCCTCTACAATGTTGTAAAGCTGGGTGCATTGTTGCTGCTGTCTCTGCAGTCACCTCTGTTAGGATAAGTAAAATACCATCATCATAGTAATGATTGCCAAAACTACAAAAAAGGAAATCCAGAATGGACAACAAATTAAAAAAATTGATGCATGTATATGCTCTTGTTCCTCACATTCACACTCCAAGTAAAGATGTGTTGTTTGCCCAGGTGATGAAAAAGAACAAGCGGGAGCGTGATGAAGACAGTGTGCGCCATGGCGACCAGTACGACACCCAGCTGCTGTGGTTCCTGATGAGACACATGAGGAACAGACGGCCCCCGAGGGTGAGTTCTCAAACAACAAACCCAGGAAACATGAATTGTTTTGACAATTTCTCTAATCTGTTTATTTGGTCATTTTCCTGACTTTATGGAAATGCATCACTACATTGCTGACTGCTGTATTTTGTCTCATTCATTTTTGCCATTACTAATGGATTTTTAGGCAGCTACACTAGTTTAACTTGTGGCGTGTGACCATATACACACTGCGTGCACTCTGAATGCACAGTCTCTCCTGTTTGGCTACACGAGGCAGTGAGTGTGTGGACTCTCAATGCATTTTCTTTTATTGATTTTGCAAAGTGAGTGACATACACGATAATGTCAGCTCACACTTTCTTCAACAGTAATTAAGACATTATCATAGACAATATCTATCACACACCCTACTGGTAAAATATTTGCATACTGTGTTGTAGTTAGAAGCAGTACAATTAGTGTTGCGTACTGTTAAACTTGAAATGTCAGTTGCATTTCTCCTTTTGTTCTCTTCCTCTTTGTCTCAATCCAGACCCGCCGTGAGGGTGCAGAACCGGACACAGACGAGTCCTGGACCTCTCAAGATTCATCTGATGAAGAGGAAGGAGGTCCAGACCATGTTCAGTGCATGTCCTCCTGAGCTCTCCTCACATACACACATACATACATACATACTTGCATACATATACAGTATATACACACACTTTATTGCCCTTGAATTGATGCACATAGGCAAGCACTATTGAAACACTGGCGCACACAAATACAGATGAGCCACAGACTTAGGGTATTTTTGTTTTTCCACACATACAGTTTCACACAGATAAACACATACATTTACATAAACATACTGTTGAAGCAGAGTGACAGCTGTTCTGAGTGTTCAAATGGCGACTACAGACTGCATACGCACTTCCAGGATTCTTATGTTTGAGCATTATACAAAGAGGTTTAGTGAGTGCTTGCATCCCTATATACCACTTGGAGGCCCGTGTTTCCATACAATTTCTATATGCTCTGCCTAGTCTCAGAACAATGTAGTATGTGTGTATGGCAACAAGCACCTCCTCTCTAGGCACCCTGTCGAAAGCTATACATCACCAGCACACAGTCCTCCCCCCCAGTCACGCACCTCTTGCTCTCGAGCTGTCTGTGCTGATGAAGAGGTGTTCAGCTTTAAGCGATACCCTCAGACCATCCCCGAATGTGATTTCCTTTAACATTGAACATTGAGAGGGAAACCCCAGTGGCCCTTACTGCATCGACCCAGCTTCATACTGATTTCTGGCCCCGAGGTTGAGCAGTCAGTTGCATTTATTACACGTTTACTCCCAGCGGACTACTAAATCTTTATGTGCTGCCTCACCCTACCAGCTACCTTCAGCTACTCCCCCCTCCTCTCACCATCACCCTCCTCCCTCACTACTGAGTGCACTTTGAATCAGGGATGCTTTAGTTTGGGATGCAGACAAAATGTGCACCGAGTGTGACTTTTAATTATTTTTTTTTCCCATTGGGGTGGAAGGGCTGTTGTCTTGTACTGCTCATTGAAAAATGCACAGTGAAGTTCAGTTTATTTTGCTAGTGTTTTGAATGGGGGGATATTTTTGACTGAGGATGAAGAGGCTTTCCTTGCTTCCACCAGCCTCTCCTCCCCCTCCTCCCAATTCGCTCTCCATTCTGACACCCATCTTTGGCAGAAAATCGTCAGTTCACCTCTCAGTGAAAATGGAGAGGCAGATGGTGTTCAGCATGTGCATATGAAATAAAGACCGACTCTGGACTCTGTTGGGGAACTGTCATTGTAAAGAGCCAGAACTGACCTGGATCAAATAAAACACCGCCTATGAGCCAGGTGAGACTGGAGTAATATAGGACTCCACTTGTTTGTTGTTCCTTTCAAAATCCTTCTGTGATGCGAAATGTCTCGCATTCAGTGACATTGTTCAGACAGATGTTTGGACCAGGTCGGATGTTTTGTGTGGAAAATTGTCTGTGCTGTTTAACCACTGGCTTCAGGAGAAGGACGGGGGGTGGTGGGGTCAGTATACTTGCCAGTTATTTGTTGTGTGAGCGATAAAGTCCAGCTTTTCTCATTTTCTATGAGAACTCTAGTTAGCTGAATTTATATGTACATATATAAATACATATTACAACTGTAAAAAAAAAAAAAAAGCAAATGCTGTTTGACTTAAAAAAAATGTCAAAACATTTGATTGGTATCGATGCAGAGGTTTATATTCTATATGAGGACAAAGTACTTTTAAAATCTTGAGAAAAAACCTGACTTGAGGCACCAGTTTGGTTCAGTTTTTCTTTTCATGAATGACATCCCTTTGTTGTGAACAGAACAGCTGTCATTTCATCAAGTGTTAAGGCTTTGATTCTCTTTCTTGATGAAGATAAAGTATTTGCTTTCTAGATTTCTAGATCTTAATCATTTGAGACAGTTATATTCAGATTTTTCCCACTGGCTATTTTTGGCATCTTGTAAACATAAGGCTTTGAACAATTTTTTTTTTCCACCACTGCCTAATATTGCGTTCTCCCAATTCAGTTGGAAATATGTACGATTTGTGCAATAAACAAAAAACAGTCCTCTTGATGTTGTCATTTTATGGCCTCATTCTGTGATGTTTGAGTTTATTTATTGAGTGACATAATTGACCACATGCGGTCGTGCTCTTCATCTGTGGGCACTTGAGCCTGTCACCAGTTGTGCAGACTGCCCAAAACATTCACATCCTTTGCAGTGTTCGATCAATAGGGGTTTTTTAAAAGGTTCCTATTAGTATTGATGGCATTAGATTGGGATTGATAAATATGTGCTGATGAAGTGATGTGGAACATCATTACACCGAGGCTCAAGGTCACAGTAACAATCCCATTAACTACCAGTGAAACTTGTCAATGCCATATAGCATATCAAAAGTGGGTACCGATTAAGATCCAGGACTTGATAAATAATCAACATGGCCCTTGCATCTCAGGATTACCATTAGGGGGCAGCATAGTGGTGCAGTGGTTAGCACTATTACCTCACAGCAAGAAATGTCCCAGGTTCGAGCCCCGGCCGACTCGGTGCTTTTCTGTATCGACTGCATGTTCTCCCTGTGCCTGGGTACTCGGCTTCCTCCCACAGTCCAAAGACATGCAGCTTAAGTTGACTGTTGACTAACACCTGTAGTAATATTATAGAGAGAAGCACTGACTCCATGCTTCTATTGAGAAATAATAAAAACTTGGCATATGACCTTTTAACGATGTTTTTATTCAACAGATGTCATAGGCAGTGACAAGACATTTACCCAATCACACCAAATATCCATCTATATCCAACAAATGTCTTATTTCACATGAACTGACAAAAACAAGTCATTTACTGTGCTAGTTGGAGAACCTGAACTGTTGTGTATAGCTGTAAACCAGCTTTCCAGGCTGATATCTAGAACAAGACCAGACCTATGAAACAGCCCTTCACAGCTCATTCCAGTTACCAAAAATCAAATAACATCATGATATGGTTTTGTGAAACTATCATCTGGAATGAGTTGCTCATCCATGCAGTCAGCTGGTCTAAATCTCCCAAACACAGGTGTGACAGTCTCTTGTAACCTGGTACAGGCTGTTAGTTGGGAGTCCTGTCCTCACTACATGCATGCAAGAGATATGATCTAGCCTATCAAATACAACCTCCCACATTATAGTGCAAACATAAATATTAAAAGAGGTGTGATCATGGGCTTTCACTTGTTGCCTCACTTACATTCATGTGTTCAGTCACACTAATAAAAAAAACTGAAGGCACAGGAACTGAGTATCAGGTGTCTTATTCTTTGTACTCCAGAAACTGCTGCAGTCTTTTTCGGTGCTCTGCAGACATCTGAACAGCACTGAGGATTAGAAAGATACATACATCAAATTATTATTATTTTTACTGTTTCGAAAAAAAAGTTTAACTATTAATAGCAGGCCTTACTTTAAGTGATCTCCAAAAGTGGTTGTTATCCTGTAGATGGCAGTCTTGAGTGTGGCCCTGAGAGCAAAGCGCAGTGTTTTGTAAGTCGAGTCTCCCATGCCGCTGGTTGACCTGACAGGCTTACTGGAAGCATGAGGCAGCTTGAAGTGGCGGTCAACAGCCTGGGCACGAAAAGGACAACATAACTGTTTGAAAAGGACACCCAAGTCAAAGCAAGAAAAGTCATTTAGCTTTCCCTA